CCATTCTCTTGGCACCGTGTCTGTTCCCTCCCCACCCTGCTTTCTTGGAAGTCACTGTGCTCTGGCTCTCCAGTTAGAGACGGATAACTGATGCATTGCACACTGGAAAAAGCTTATCACGCTGCATTATTTGTTCCATCTCTGAGCCCTACCACCTCTGTGAAATCTATTTCTTCAAGTTTGAAAGGGACTTGGATAAACCACCTGGCCATCCCATCAACTGTCTGCTCCAGGCAGTTTGTCACAGACAGTGAAAAGGGCATTGATGGAGTGAATGTGTCTCTGGTACATATTTTGGAGCAAGGGTTTGTGCAGATGAGCTGGCAGAGGCTGAGCTGTGTTTTGGAGCATCATCCGGACTGCAGCTCTCCTGTAGCTGGGAGCTCAGGCCTGCTTTCTGCCCTTTTAGAGGATCACTCAGTTTAGGTGCATGGACGGGGTGAGAAAAATGTTTTCAGGCTGTGAAAATGGAGGGATGGGGTAGCAGTGGTAATCCCAGGCTGCTGGAGCATGTCACCTCAGGGTACTGCCCCGGGGAATCCAAGGGGTGCTGGACAGTGCTGCAGACACAGGACCTCTGCCCCAGGTCTCATTTCATATTGGAAAGGAAATTCCAATGTCAAGCAAGGCAAGAGGACTTCCTGACTGATGGAAAAGTCAGAGTTAGGAAGAACCCGCATCTTTTTGAAATGTCATCTGCACTGGGTGAGGGCAGAAGCCATGTAATGGAGCTGGATTTGCCCTCATTCTCCACAGCTGGTGGGATGGCTTCCTTTTGTAAGTTTGGGAAACACCTATAAAGCACACTTCTCTGCTGTGTACCTCAGGGAGCTGGTGTGACTGCAAACCACACACAGCTTTTGGCACCACAGGCCAAACTGCACAAAGCCCTCACTGCCCCACCACTGCCTGCAGAGCGCAGTGGCTGCAGGTTACCAGAGAACAAAATGTTTAACCATGGAGAAGGTGATGCATGGGCAGTGACTGTAAGCCCTTTTTGAGTGACAAACACCTGGAAAGCCCCATGAATCTGTCCTCCCCTTGATGGCCCACTCTGGACCCTCTCCTGGGGAGGAGGGTGGTGGGTTTTGCCTGAATCCCTGTTACTGACCAAAACTGCCACAGAAAAAGGAGCAGATCACAGAAGCTTTCAGTGAAAACCCTTCATTTGCTCCTGTGGGTTTGGAGTGGTCAGCACAGACATGGGAAAAGTTTTCAAAGGTGCCAGGTTGGGGTCTGAGGGCTCTGCCTGAGGCTGCTATAGCACTGAGCTGAAGGGCAGTGCAGTGCTGGGTGCTCCTCCCTGGCACCAGAGAGAGAAGATTCCATCCCTGTGCAGCTGCAGGAGGGGTGGAAATTCCAGTCAGATCAGGGGGTGGGCAGCCCTGTGAGGGCAGGATGAGGAACGTACCCAGGGAAAAATGAGCCTGGAGAGCTATTGTGGCCTGGGAGTCTGGAGTTGGTCAATGTGTTGTGGTGGCACAGGACAGGGTGACCCTCATCCCTCCTCATCCCTTCAGCTGTGGCCTGTCTCTTTTACTGTCTCAGTGGAGACCTGCTTGTGAAACTGCAGGTGCAGATTATCTCTGTGTCTGCTATGGAGGAATTATCACTGCAGACAGGATTATCTGCAAGCGAAGGAGCCACTAATGTTTGATTACAGATACAAGCCTCTCTGGGCCACAGAATACTTTACAAATTTTTTTTGGTAGTAATACTTCTGTTTTGTTGCCTCTTGAAACAGTAGCCATCAATTTTACATACTAACCTCACCAATAACCCATTTACCCAATGTCATTATGAATAACATGGTTATAAGAGCCAGTCCCCTTTCTCATGGAGCAGTTTTTGCCTGCAGACAAGGTGGGAAGCAGCTTTCCCTCAACAGCTTTTGCGTTTTAGCAGAAATCTCATTACCTGACATTGACAGACCCATGTGCTCCACTTCCTCTTGGGGTGCTGATGAGCAGAGAGAGGCACGTCCTGCTGCCAGACACCAACAGGACAAACGCAGTGGCAGCCGTGTGTGAGTTCAGCTGGCAAAGGGTGATGCTAGGTGTGCAAATGTATAGCAAAGAGGAAGGGAAGGGGTCAGATTTTATTTTCTTAGTCAGCACACCTGCAATACACACCAGCCTTGCACCTAAAGGCAAAACCAAACCTTTTAATTCAGTCCTTTTCTCCAGACAGGAAGATCTGTTTATGTGTGAAGCATTTTCAGTGTTTCATTCTAGTAGAAAGTTAATTCAAAGCTCTGCTATTTTGATGTCCTGTTATTTTAGATTCGGGCCACATGTTTGAATGAGTGTATTTGATCATTTGGAGATCAAGAATGGAGAATGAGAATCTATTCCTCCATTGTTTTTTTTTTACTTCTGAGTCCAGAATTTCTGCCTTTTGACAATGATTTTGTGGGACAGCTTTTCCTAGCTGAAGGCACAGAGCAGAATAATGGGCAGCAAATATTTCTGCAGATGGGATTCTGTTCAAAAAGACTGGAAATAAAAGAGCAAAGTCTAAACTCTGCTATAACTGGCACCAAAAAAATGTATGTAGCATCAAACCACAAGAGCAGTGATGGGCAGGGACCAGGTGGACTCTATTAGTGAGCAAGGAAGAGAAGGAATCTTTCTTCTTCCTAATAGCTGCCAAGAAACAAGCTTGTTTCAGCTTTTGCATGAAATGATAGATGGTGGCTTTGAAGCCCAAATCTCTTTGGTTTTATTCTTTCTCCTTTTGGGACATGGGTGCTGTGGATGTTCATTACTCACATTGGAAACATTTGCCACAGGAAGCTCCTGGAACAGACTTTGGAAAGCTATGAAAGCCCTAATGTCAGCCCAAAACATCAGGGCTCTCCCAGCACTTGCTGAATCAAATTATTAAGTGCCAAGATAAATTAATGTTTGTCATCCCAAATTTTACAAAATCCAGGGTTTTCAAACCCCCTTCCTACCAAGAAAGTCCTCTCTGTTTGAAAAGTGAACCCCATTTTGGTGGCAGCAGCTTCTGCAGAATCTGCAACAGTATTTTCTGAAGTCTTGCTTCACTCTTCTGTAAATTTTCTTCCACCTCTGTTTCCCTGGTGAAATAGCCAGAATATTTGCATTTTTTAAAAAATCAGGGTTTTCAGTAGTCATAAAGCATAGGCTAATGAGCATCTTCTGCAAGACAATTTAGTTAATTAATATTTATATACTGCAGCAAGGCTCAAGAGCTAATCTATGAAGTGTTATTTAATAATTCTGAATATCTGCCTTGGGAATCCAAGATTGAAATTCACTGCAATTGAATTAAGTTTCAATTAAGGGTTCCTGCCATTAAATCTTTAACACAGGAGCAATAAACACAACAAAAGCATGAAGCAAGAAGATGCAATTCTGCCTGGCCAGCCTGTGGGCTGAGATAATCAGGATAAGCACCTCTGTTCCTGGCAGGGAAGAGTGAGTGTCACTGGGACAACTCGGTCATGTTTACCCTTGGGGGCAAGCACTGAGCCCACAGGACCTGAGGTTCCTGCTCCTGTGCCACACTTGGCTGGTGGAGAATGAGAAAAAGGGAAGACTGTCCCAGCCCCCCTGTGTCTGTGGGGGCCAGCATTGTCCCTGGGGGGAGTGCTGCAGCCCCACATCCCTCTCTGTGTGCTGCCGAGTGGGAAATGACCCCGGCCAGCGGCAGGGTACCAGCCCACAGTGGCACTCTGTGTGCTGGTGACACTGGCAAACAGCCCCAGCTGCAAAGGGCTCGCCCCTCTCACTCCTCTGCAGCCAGGGCCTCTCCTGTGGCATTGTCCTGCTGTCTCCCAGACAAGGAAGCAGGACATGGAACAGAGAATCCCTTCTCACCATCATTCAGCAGCTCTCTTACCACCGCTCAGCAGCCAGCACCTTGCAGGGCTGGGGATCATTCCTGGGAATAATGATGCCTTCCTCAGCAATGCTGTTGCAGCCAGGTACTGGTGAAGACTTGCTCACAGACCAGGGAGCTGCTTGCTTTTGGGGAGGTTGGGTGTGCTTGTGGATGCGTGTGCAGAACTGCATCCTGCAGTTATGGCTTTCCAGAGAATACCAGTGGGTGGTTCAAGAAGTAAAATAAGGATATTATTATTATACACATATAATTTGATTCTTTTAGTCTGAAATAACCCCCGGTAAATTTATATTTACTTGGCAGTGAAAACATAAAACTTGGTTTGGCAATTACATTTAGGAAAACATTAGGAACTCAAGGGAGAAAATACTACTTGGCCGAGCATGTTTAACTAATGCTGAGAAATGGGGCTCTGTGAATCTGAATTCAACCCAGTTTTTTAAAGCTACTTACCCGGTCTCCTTCCACTGCTGGCCAACTGACAGAAATTCAATATTTTTCTTCTAGTGAATGAAAAGCATAGTCAGAAGCAGCCATTGGGTCAGGTTCATATGCAAAAGCTCCTCTTGTGCTTTTGTTTCCTAATTGCTTTTGGAAGGGTTTTTCGGACTGGGCTGACGCAGTTGTGTGTGTGAATTTCCTGGCAAATAAGAAAGGTGACTGTGTCCAAAAGACATTTAAGAGTGTGAATTCACAGCCTTTCCATGTCTAATCAAGGAGCGTAAACCATTAGCCACATGTTCCCCATTTCCATCACATTTTTTCACACTTAAACAAAAACATGCCAAAGGAAAGGTGCTACATTTTTTAATGCCCCCAAATAGGAACCACAGGAGTCCATTAAATGCTGTGGTCATTTCCAGCATACAAATCAATTTTCCTTGTGGTGGTGAAGTGGTGAATAATGCCTGGTTTGTTTAAAGGAGCATGACTGATTTTGGATGAAGGATCCTGTCACTTTGGCATTTTTAGTTTTATTTATTGCATGCAAGCGTATAAAACCTGGTACTGGTCTCAGTGCCAGGCTTACTAGTGGAAAAGCTGAAAGGACCACATAACGTCTGGTGCAGCAAAGAAGTTCTCCTTCTGCAAGGCATTTGCTGGACTCCTGAAAAACTATTTTGATTAACATGGCAGAGAAGGATTTCATCAGTTGGCATCTGCTGGCTTTATTTTTTCTTCCATTTTGCCTGTGTCAAGATGAATACATGGAGGTGAGCAGAAGATCTTATAAACCAGTGGCCAAAATATTGCAAAGTCACCACCAGACTGGTCACAAAGGTTCCAGAAGCAGGGAAATATTGAAACAGCGGCATCAACTTATAGAGTGGACTGTTGTTAATAGCACATCTACAGACCACAATGTCCTGAGACCAGAGGTAGATGATGTAGAACTGACTACCTCAGATAGAGTCCAGGTACTCTGAATTAATCTTTTAAAGATATCTTTAAAGCTAATGAGAATTTTTTTTTTTTTTTGCTAACATTACGAGTAATATATTTATGGAATAGTTTTTATTAAAGCTGTGTATTGGTCTGTATCCTGCTGGGCTGCTTTACAGGATCTTTTAATGAGCTGGTAGAACCAGCAGTGGTTGGGGACATTGGTTTCAACACAGGCAGCAGGGCTTTGTTTTGTTGAAACTGTGAGTTTGTGAAATCATATATGCTGAAATACAGTCTCTTAATTATCCCAAGGTATTAATTATTTAATATATTAAATATATTAGATATTTCTAACTCATTCAGATGTGAAGGAAAAGACAGCATTTCTAGAGGTATTTGGAGAGATTCAATTAGCAGAGAATAATTTTACTTTAAAATGATGTATATAAAGCATATTTCTTGAGCTTGAGACAAAAATAATGAAATTCTGAATGTTCCAAAATTTTGTTCTAAGGAGTAGCTTGAAAAAACCAGATACTAATGTAATGAGTAGATTTAATAATATAAATCAACTGAGAATTTATGAAGAAAAAAAGCTTGCAATGAAATTGTAAATAGTCTGCAGTATCTGCATTTGAAACTGAGAATATCTTTAGGCCTTTCATGGCACTTTACATACTATAGTCATTAGTTTACAACATAGGAAAAATGGCATAACTTGATTATACACAAAATATTGCAGTCTAAATTTGAAAGAAAAAAATCTGAAGGGCAGAAGATTAAGCTTTTTCTAGCACTAGGCAAAACAAAATTCCACTCAAATGAAGGGGCTTTTTTGGTCAATGTGTTGTATTAACAGCAAGAAACATGAGTGCTTTACAATTGATACAAATATTTGAGTCCTGTACAGTTCACCTTTTATCCTTTGGGGTTTTAAAATTTATTCAGATCAAAATATGATATTTTGAATTGCCAAAATCAAAGACATGCAGATAAGTGTTGAATAATAAGGTTATTATTATGATAAGCAGAGAAGAGGTCTGATTTTAATCCTGTCCTGGGCTTGAAGAACTGAAACACATCCAAGTAAGGGAAGAGGTTTAATACACTGTATTCCCTGTATTAAAACTCCACAGTGCCTTGCATTTTGTATTTCTTGGGCAGGAGTTAAATGTTCCTCCAGTGCAGTCAGCAGAACAGATATTTAACTGTAGGCATGTTAAACTGTGCTTGCAGAGTGTAAGCAGTGTAAAACATAAGCTATACAGTCCAAAGGGCCAGCCAGTGTGTGCAGACCCCTTTACTGCAGGGAGAATTCTGTGTGCTGCAGACCTGGTACAGAACATTCCCCTTTAACACCACAGAGTTTCAGATAATGCAGGATTTAATGCAAAACCACAGCTTTTTAGGGCTCAAACTTTCCCCCACAGAAAGTGTGCTGAGGCTGCATGTGTCTCTTGTCAGAGAGTTTAATGCAACTTGTCTGGAGCTGCCTGCTGGGGAACAGGTTGTGACAATAAAATCAAGCCCAGTGATCCGAGTACAGCTGATGGCAGCCATTTACCTGCCAGCCCATCTCCAAGAAGCAATCTTTTGTGGGGAAATGATGCAATTTTTGGCTTAATGAAATGAAATGGAGCACTAGCAGATGCGCGACAGGGATAATCAATCACACAGTGGTTACGCAATATGTGTTTTCCACTTCCAGACTCCAGGAATTTCTAGGCAGAGGAAGAACAAAGGTGGCACTGACATGTTTTAATTAATGTCAAATCTTTCCCTTTCCCTTGAGTTATATGGAAACTATTCAATTCCTATTTCCTGCTTTCTTAGTTATTTGAGATGGAATAACTCTACCCAGCTAAAGAGAATTTAGGCTGGGGAATTTCACCCTCTTGCTGAAGTGTTTCAAAGGTCTCATTCCCTGCTGTGGAAAAGAGATGTCAGTATTTGTTGTTACTATCTATTGTATGTTATTACTATTTGTTGTCTTTGCTGCACTGAGTGCAAGGCCAGCTTCCACACTGCTGTTAACTAATGTAAAATATAACGTGCATTTTTAAAGAACAAGAACTCTTAGTGACTAAGCAGAGTCACGTCAGACCATTTTGCCATTTCAGGTTGCTCTTTGAAAATCTTTCAGTATCACTAGCCAAGCAGTGTTTTAGCCTGAATTTTGGCAACTTTTGGTTGTTTCTTTTCTTGGAGAAGGGGCATGGAAGGCCTAAGTGCCCACAGAGACAGATATTTTGCATTCAGAACAGAAGCCAAGAATGGTGGAGGTGCATCACTCGTCTTCTGCTTTGTCTTAGACAATAAAACAGAAATTCATAAAATTAATCAGGAAGTCAAAAAGGGTCAAAGGTTGGGTCTCCAATTATGACTTGTTCACAGCTTTAATTTAAGGGAATTTCATAGACCATCTGTTGCCTAGATTATTCTCCTACATACTAAATCATGGGAAATTCAGCAGATAGCTTCAGAAATAGTTCCAGTTTTCTATCAGTGTTAGGATATCAATGTGGCAGATGCATTTCACAACCTCCTAAATTATATTCATGTTCTGGCAGCAAAGCCAAAGATTCACTGACAAAAATTATGCACAAATGGCTGCAAAGGATGCCTTTGGCAAGTAGATTGCAACAAATCTCTATGTCACATTTGAGTGTAACTTTATTTTAGGAACATGTTTTTCCTTTAAATGTACTCTTCATGAAGTTCTCTGATTTTAAAGATTAGAAGAAAATCCTAAATATTCCTCATCCTTGGCAGCTGACCACGAATAATTTTTTTTCCTAGTGAAAGAGTAAAGGTAATAAATTAATTACTTTATGACTTGCATAAAAAGCTATTTTTAAATCAGTGGAACTGTTGCATATAACCAGACTGGCAGGACTTGCCTCATTTCACACCTAAGAACCTGATGAGCTTTTTTTGAGGTAATGCCTGATAGCACTTGGTTATGACCATCGCTTGTATCTATTTTATTTTAAAATAGCTGTTTCTCTAATAAAGCTGTTCAAGATTTCACTACATTGTCTGAAAAAGACAAATTGCATCTGCACAGAGAGAGTCTCACATGCAGTCCACTTTGCTGGATTCATGTCTTCCCTCAATTACAATCTCTTCTAAGTCTTTGGATTTTTTTAGGCTGATATGACTTATTTGCTCTTGGGAGGTGTGTATTTAGCTCACCTTCCCATTTAACGTGAATGTGAAACACTATCTAAAAGAAGATGGAGATTTTAATCTCAATGCAAAAATCAGTTATTCTTTTAGGGGATAAAACACGCTTGCACAATTCCAGTCCTCTTGTACTTGGCTCCCTTTCAAGGACTGAAAATGGGCTGAAACCAGAGCCACTTCTTCTCTCATACCAGGAATGTTATAAAAAGTGCATTTGGTGATTGTCAGTTATGTCCTGCCTAACAACTGGAAGAGACAAAACAGCCAGAAAAATACAAACAGGTTCTCCAGGAAGAGGGAGTTCAAGAGGCAGAGCCTATTTTTCTCATTAAGTATAGACCTTGTCTACAATTAATCTAAAAAGCATAGCCTTGACCAAACCCCATAAGTATGAAGCCCTTCTGCCCATTGGCAAGTCTTAACTTTTCCATAACTCTTTGAATAGGAAGGATATTTGTTCAGCTGTCAACTCAGCCTTTATTCCCATGGTAACTTCACCATCACTGGTTCCAGCTGGACAGGGCTTGTGTCTATCCCCTTGGAGGAGCTGCAGTATTTTGGTGGTGTCATGAAATGAATTTCCTATATCCATAAGTCCCTAAGCCTCCTGAAATCAATGAATTCCAAGGGTTTTCTTGGTATTATCCAAAACACAGGCAGAATGTTTCAGATGACATCAGTGACGACACTGAGGGCAGGAATACAGCTCATCTGTGGGCTCATTTGACAGCTCCCATCCTGACAGGGGCTCGTTTTCTGACACTAAACCAATAAGCCTGCATTGGGCAAGGAATTTGACAATGATAAAGATTAGGGAAAAGAAAGGGGAGGAAGGCAAATAATAGAGTGATTAAAAAAAAGTAGTAGTTGGATTGGTGTAACTATCCATCTCCAGATTTTAAGAACTGAAGGTTTGCATCTCAGGATATTAGGAAAGAATTGTAGGGAAAAGAAACAAAGATGGAACAAATGAGGAGGTAGAGAAATAAAATCAAACACTGAATCTCGGCTTTATCTGACATACTGGAAAATCTATGATAACTAAGTTATGAAACTCAGTCAGAATTGAATGAGTCTCCATTAGTACAAACACAATAATATGGAAAAGAAAACCACTCAAACAAAGCCATTATTAAACTGATTACTACAGTAGCTGAGCTGTACATAATGAACTGATTACTTTATTTATGCTGCTGTATTGGTCAGCATATAGGTTTTCATGGTTCACATTCACCACTACAAATGATTAAAAACCCCTTGTATTAAGTTCAAATTTTTGTCTTGTGTCTTGGCACTTTTTTAGGGTCTCCCACCTTTAGTAGCCCGTAAATACACAGGTCTAGGATCATGAAGAGGAAAATGCTGCACAGAGATTTTTTTTTAGTATCTTCTTTGTGTGGTCCAACACAGTTTTATTTATGTTTAATAGAGGAGAGTTCACTGCTGAAGGTCAAATCAAGTCCCTTGTGTCCTACTACTGGTTGTACATAGGCAGGTTTGTCATCAAAGGTCAGTTAAAATGTGGGATCAGGATGTGAATCTAATTGAAATATTCATCTAAATTTCATTAGATGTTATTAATTTATTTTAAAAACATTCATTATTTAACAGGATAAGCTGGGATTTTTTAATATTCGTTATAGATTTTTGAATGCTTCAAGAGCTATTCCTTTAAATCTTCCAAAAATAACATCTTCAGGGATAACCTAACTGTGTGAGAATTTCATGCCAGATAAGAACTGTTTTGAAAACTTACCAAGTATATAAACAGAAATACATAATGAAGACCCTGTAACCAACATGCAGAAGATGGATGTCCTCCATGAATGAGCTACTTAAAGCTTATTTTTGTGCACTTAGTCCCCCCAGCCTGGACCGCAGAATCCAGACTGCAGCTCCTGCTGCCGAGGTGACTTTGGAGTTCGACTCTACCAAGGGCCCCCAGGACCTCCTGGGCCCCCTGGGATGCCAGGTAAAAATGAATTTTAACCCACTTTTTTATCAGTCTAATTGCAGGCCATAAATTACAGGCTATTCTATGAAATATCAGAGAGCGGTCCAAACATCAGTATCTGGGGACAGATTCAGGAACAAGTTTTTCTATCATTTAAGAGGAGACAGATATTTTCCATTGAAAACCTATTTGTTATTAAAATTCAGCTTTCACAAATTCATACTGAAAGTAATCTTATCACACCTCTAGGAAAAATTGGTCTCTCTTAAAACAGCATGAAGTTCCCAATAAACTTGGAAGAGCTTGTTCCCTGGAGCTGATTATTGTCATCACCTTTGTATATCCAGCTGTGTTACTGTTTTCAAGGGCTTTTCTTCATCTAGCATACTGCTAGCCAATATTTTACAGAAACACAATGCTTCTGTTCTCCCACAGAAATTCCTTCACTTTCTTCTTTCATCTTGTCTTTCATAATAAAAAATCCCCCTTTTTTAACATAAAAAATGTCCACAGAAGAACAGCATACACAAGAAAAGTATATACTTTGATCTGATAATTGATATGGAAATATAAGAGCCTAGAGAAGGGAAAATGTTGGTTGCATGCTGGTGTCAGTTTGTTATATCATCTGCCTTCAGAGATTTGGAAATCGCCATTCCTGAAGCAGAGGTACAACATAAATTAGCAGGTCACTGAAAGACAGACTTGTCTCTTCTTGAAAAACTTACATCTTCTGTTAACACAATGAAAATGCAATTCAGTGATCCATTACTTACTAATAAATTGTTGGATTCTTAGAAGCAGGATATGATTTTATACTAGAGCCACATTTTCAAGGCTGCAGTGGACACACTGGGGCATGGCCTGGTCCCAGCTTTGCCCTTCCTTCCTGTCTCAGTTCCACTTTCTGTCACTGCAGGATACCACAAATGTACGTCTGGCAGCAGCCTCCTGCACCCGGGGATTTCTGTCTCCTTCATTTGATGGATTTCATGTTGCTGTGCCTGTAAGGGGAACAGCAGCAGTTGCTTTTCCCCTTGATTGAATCAAATGTTGCTTGCAGACTTCTGTTCTGAACTGGTAGAGCAGTTCTGGCTTCACATAAAGGATCTTGTTATTTTTGAGAGCTGCAGATTCCTCTATCCAAACAAAAAAATGTGCATAATTTCTTTCAGCATTTGGCTTCCTTGTTTGAAATTTTTTTTTCTTAATAGAAAGACTCTGAAGGATCACTTCATCATCAGATTTGATCTCAAACAACACTATTCTTCTTGTAAATTTGTAACCAGAGAGAATAATCAAAGAACAAGCAGAGTGGCAAAGAACCTAATTTCAATTCAGGTTGAATTAGAATAATGATGACATTAATTAATCCCCTGAGCTGAAAGATCAGGCTTTTGCTGCAGGAGGGATAATAATTGGTCAGTGATTCTAGCCAACTTCAAAATCCTGTCAGCTGCATAGACATTTGCTTAGTAATTTAGTCAGTCAACACCAGGAAGTAAGTAATACTGCAGATGCATGAGTATGTTTTGCAATGAGTTGTTTTACTAATTTTCTCATAGCAAGCCATCTCAAAAAAAGCTTAATTATAAAAATTTTGTCTCTCTTTAAATCTAGGACTATGTAGTCAAATGGCCCCTAGCCAGCACCCTGCAAATACACACTCTCCTCTTTTTAGCACAGATTTTAACAACTTTAATGCTACAGCCATTCATCATTTGTGTGGATTGTGTGTTTTAAAGATAGCAAAATCTTATTCAAAATTAGCTTATCCTATCATGATTGGCTTAATTTACCAGGAAATTGGTGTTTATCGTAAAGCAAAACTACTTCTGCAGGCTACTTAGTATGTGGCAACTGAAAGAGGCTTTTGCTTTCCTTGAGCCTTCTCTCTGCTGACATCTTCCTGCACATCTCCCCCACAAAGCAATGACTTGAGACACCACCAGTTTATACAGCAACATGAGGGTTAACTCCCAAAATCTATGTCCTTCATCAAAACCTTTGCCATCAAGCTGACCACGCAGCAGTTTCTTATCCGGTTCATCTCAGCCTGGGGTTTATGGCACGGAAGCGCTGGTGGAAGAGGATCCTGTCACACTTGTCTGTTAAAATATGATAAATTTTTTAAATAAAACAGAAAGTTTTGCTTCCCTTCAGGAAATCATGGAAACAATGGAAATAATGGAGCAACTGGCCAGGAAGGAGCCAAAGGTGAGAAAGGAGACAAAGGAGATATTGGACCAAGAGGAGAGCGTGGCCATCATGGACCCAAAGGCGAGAAGGGTTACCCTGGGATTCCCCCAGAGCTGCAGGTACAACATCTCTGGCTCGTATTGGCTGCAGCAAAACTCAGATTATGGTTTTCTTCACTGAAAAAACAGCACCTTATTACTGTAAGATACTTAAGAAGCAAATCCCCTTGTAAATTAATACTGTAACAGGCATATACAGCCCTTGTCCTTACTGAAAAAAAAGTGCTCTGCCAGATCTTTCTGGAAAAGAAAGCTTTAGTCAGAATCCAGCTGAGAAATAGGCAGGAAGAAACATATATGCTTCCCTTTGAGGGCAAAAAGCCAGTATCTGGGTTATTAAAGGAGAATAGCAGGGACTATCATTTTCCTACCAAGCTGTATCACATAAATAATTGCACTTCCCACAGCATATGGAAAGAGTAAAGGAGTCATGTTTCTCAGGGTAGCCGGGCTTTATGAGACTCTCAGAAGCACATGTATCCAGCTACTCAAATTTTTTGAGTGCAGTAAAAGTCCTTTAGTTTCAAAAGATACCCCTCAGTAGTTGTCTGTATATTTATATGTCTAGGTATTTTAAATATGTTTGGGGTCATGTAGGTTCTGCCTATGAATGAATAATTCAAAAGCCAGATGAGCAATTAAATATGGATTAAAGCCTGAGTTGTTGAGCTCAACTCTCGTATTGGCACAATTTCACAGCTTTTGGATTCCAGCTTCTTCAAATCCCAGGAATCTGGCAGAGAGTTTGTGTATGTATACATAAATATATACGTATGTGTATATAAATCTCTATACACACACACACAGATACACATATATACATATTCATACATATGCATATACATATAATATATGCATGTAGAAATATATATAATATATGCTCATGGTAGAGCTGAATATCTGATAAACATACCTTTAATTACATTCAACATACATCCTTCTACAATTTTAAAATTAACTACCACTGTTTTTTTCCTTACATAAAGACAATGGTAGTATTGTAATTAAAACTGAGTGATGAAAGAAGATGAACAAGGAAAGCTCATATTGTAATACCTATTTCCAATACTTAAAATTCCATCACTCCTTTTATCAAATGTGTTTAAAAATGTTTACAGTATTTCTTACCACCATACTTAAGAATTTTAAAGTCAGTGGTGGTATAGGAGGAAACACTTTTGAGTACAAAACTGTTTTAAGTACAGGATTATTTTGAAAAACTTTGTGTATCCATGTTGACCTGCTACTTCATAATGAGACCTAGTGAGAAAAGATATATTTTTCTGCTGTTCTGTTCAGCCCACAAAAAGTAACTCAGGGTCAAAGAGACTGTGAAATGGAATCTAGACAAAAAGCAATAAATTCCATCAATCTGCCACTGCAGCTGCTTTCCTTTAACAGACGATGAACTTTGATGTGATCCTGGCTGAGAAGCCAGATATTAACAATTTGCTGTAATAGAAAATGCATCCATGCAGGGGTAAGGAAAATCAGCCCAAGCTTTCAGCTCACATCTGGAGCTCCTTAAATTTCTGAACAGATGGCTAACGATTTCCGTTGTTGGATCCAGACTTGCATTTGATCGTCTGTTTTCATTTTGTTCTGGTTTGGATCTGAAATCAAAAGGAGTTTGGGCTGTTTTTTTTTTTTTTTATTTTTTAAATACCAGCATAGCTGGAATCTCACAAAAAATGTCATTTTTGTGATGGGCAGTAACAGATGCAATTGAACACTTGTCATTTAAGAAGCTGAGATAGAAATAAAAAGCCAAGTCTATATGTAACCTTTTGGCAACAAAGCGCAGCAATTCTGATTCTATGCCATTTGCTCACATAATGGGGGCAGGGGAATGATAAACTTACAGAAAAGGTCACTCCCTTCCCTAACCAGGCCAGCTGGCAGGGTCATTCCCTGGTATCTTCCTGAGGATAATTTAAATTGTCTGGTGTGGGATGTTTTGCACTACTTCCTATGAAACATTTCTATGACAAGAAGTGAAACACGAAGTTGAAGCACAGTTTTAATTTTCTTATTTTCACCTCTTGGTCTCCACCACCCTCTGTTTTCAAAACTGAGGGCAACTGACAAGACAGAAAAACCATTGAATATGGAGTGTCAGCTGCAGCACTTCCAGAGGACCTCTAATAAAAGTGTTTCATGTATCTCTAAGCAAGAAACACTAATCTTCATGGATTTTACTGACCATTGTTCATTTTCACACATGCAGTTAAAAGCAATATCCAGTTTAATATTCCCCAATATCCAGCATTGGGGAATACATAAAACTATATAAAACGTTTTTGTCAGAAACACCATTTCAATACTATATTGCTGTTGCATCATTCTAGCAAGACTTAAAAGTAAATAAAATCTGAAATTAAGGTTCTGAACTGCAAACACTTGACCATACACTTACTTTACAGTCATGAATGGTCCAATTGAATATGAGAACCCTAGTCTTCTTCCAGTTTCATTCAATGGGAGTTTTGTTAACTGGAGTTTATTGGCCTTGGAGCAAACCCTAGAAGAACATCTCTGTCAGGAAAATAAACAGACTGCAAATACAGGAAAAAAAATCTGTTACCTTGTTGCTCTACACACATGTTTTTCATGAACGACTGCCTGAATAAGAACTGGATTTTTGCAGGTCGCATTTATGGCTTCAATGGCTACTCACTTCAGCAACCAGAACAGTGGAATCATCTTCAGTAGCGTTGAAACCAACGTTGGGAATTTTTTTGATGTCATGACCGGGAGATTCGGTGCTCCAGTGAATGGTGAGCATTTGCAAAACAGAATAATGTGATAATTGGAGCTGTAGAGAGACACGTGGTCAAAAAGGATGAGGCACATTTAACTGCCTTTGCACTCTGTCTGCATAGCTCTTGCTACCTACTTTCCAGAAAAAATTAACTGAAAGCTGAGCAAGCCAAGAGTGGTCTTGCCAGCCAGTGAGACCAGTGCTGACACAAAGGCAGGAGGAAGAGGCATGGCCAGGGCTGGGGAGGGAGCAGGACTGTCTGCTTTGCTGTGGCTCCTTAGCCCTTCAGCCACTGTGATGACAGAACCACAGTCTTAATGTTATAGCAAGCAGCAGCAGCTTCACAGTTGCCTCCTCCACCTCCTGCCTCCTGTCAATCTCTTCATCCTCATCCATCCCCATGCCAATTCAGCTGCGAGCTGACCTGCAACAGATGTGTGGCTGGAAATGAGGCGTTACAGTTCTTCATGGTTATTTCTCAGCTGCATCAATCCCCCCTCTTATGCAGCTGTGATGCAGGAAGAACACCTGCCATATGCAGAATTAAAATTAATCAGATTTTGGAATGCTATAAGCAGAAACAAAATATCTGCTGACAACTGGAAGGCAGTTTTGTCTACAGCTGTTATGGTTTCTAACCAAGAAGCACAAATGTGCAGCATGATTACTTCTTTCTATGAAGCAAACAAGTTGTTTTTATAACCTTTTCAGGGGTATATTTCTTTACTTTCAATATGATGAAACATGAAGATGTGGAGGAAGTGTACGTGTACTTGATGCATAATGGTAATACAGTGTTCAGCTTATACAGGTAAGTAAAGGGCCAGGACATCTCAATGCAAAAACATTTGTATGGTTGTGACAGCTTGCTCATCTTTCCAGAAATGTAAAATTGTTCATTTTTTTTGGAAGAAATTCTCTAGGGTAAAATAACCAACAAGAAAACCTATTTTTTTTGCCATCCTCAGCATGCATATTTGGACCATACACACCACAGATGCTGGACCTAAAGTTCAGCCTTGATCACCATTTCCTCAAACTCAGGGGTTAGCATAGCAAGTCAGGGTTGGAGTTCAGTGGTATCATGCTGTCATTCTGCTAAAATATGTCTTCATCCTCATTTTGCTTGTCAGAGAAAGGAAATAATGAAGTGTCCAGTGACTACTTACAGTCATGTTAACACGAGGGAAGAGAAATTTACTTTAAAGTTGGGAAGTGTTTAAGCTGCAGAAGTAAGGATGAGTGAGAAGCAAAGGTCTTCCATTTACTGGCCTTTTTATCATTAGCACACCACCACAGGCAGCTTCATCCCCAATAGATCTCTGCAAAAGGAAAAGTGCTTAATTTCTGTTTCCCCTGAAGCACTGGTATCAGAAAAGGCAAGAGGTAGAAGAGAGGAGGCAAAGCCAGGAGGCTAGCCCACATCAAATGTACCCATATTCCAATGAAAGGCTCAGTAGGGAGCAAGCTGCCTGTGTCTGCTCACTGCCTGTGCTGGGAGTACAGGGACTCAGCTCTTAAAATTAGTTGGGATGAACTCAAGGGGAAAAAAGCATCACAGGAAATCTGTAGTGTTGTCATCAATGAGCAGCATTTAATTTTAAACAAAAAATTTGTTCCTGTGCCCTGGAGAAAAAATAAGTTTCAATTCCAGAACTTCAGAAAGGAATGAAATAATGCATTTAGGCAAGGTACTAAATTTGACTAGGAGATCAAATTCAGAAAGTTGCCAAAATTTCCTTATAAAGCCAAAAAAATGTTGGCAAGTCTTTCAAGCAAGTTTTGCTCAGGATAACAATGTACTTGGATTTTTTGGTAAAGTTGTTTGTTTGGTCACTATTGAGAAACAAAAACCTGACTTGTTAAAATATTCATCCTTAGCTATGAATCCAAAGGGAAAGCAGATACTTCAGGAAACAGTGCAGTCCTAAAACTTGCCAAAGGAGATGAAGTTTGGCTGCGAATGGGAAATGGAGCCCTCCATGGGGACCATCAACGCTTCTCCACCTTTGCTGGGTTTCTTCTTTTTGAAACCAAGTAAAAAAAAAAGGAAACAACCCAACAGATGTTTATGTGAAAAAACATCTTTTTTGGAACTTGTACATTTCACTGGACTGTGAAATAACTTTACAACATTGGAGGATCAAGAAGCCTTGTTTTGATGCAATGTGCTGCTACCTGTGTATCAGAGATAAGCTGAATACATTGAGTAGCTGACACAGATTCACAGAGTATCTATTGTCATCTGAGTTGCACCTATTTAACCATTAAATGTTGCTATTGCTCTCTTCCCCAAAAGTGAATGAAAAACAAAGGAAAGTGAGTTTAAAGAATTTAAAGAGCGGTTTACATGAAGTCAATTTCATCTCTAAATATATTTTAGTTATATGTCAGGAATTGAACAACTGATTCAAAAGTTTTGGATCATTTATTCAGTTCATCTTAAATGTTCATTTAAATTTGCATCATGGAAACAGGCCTGAATGTATTATAAGCAGGCTCAGGTGAGACCAGATCTAAAGGAAGAAGATGTACTGGATTGGAATGAGCTCAAATCAAAGAAAAAAATGTGAAAATGTAGATTTCAAGGATTCAGGTTTATTGCATTCCCATCTCAAACCTCTGAAGATGTATCTGGTGTCATTTTTCAAAGATTTTTAGCACATATTTATGCTTAGTCTCTCTCTGTTAGAAGAAGAATGTCAGTAGTTCTTGCCTTAGTAGCAGCTTGAAGCTAAGGTAATTTAGTTTGCAGTGTGAAGGGGATCAGGCAGGGGAACTGTAATGTTTCCCCCTAGCCTTAGAATTTTTAAAACCTGATGTAAGCCAGTGCAGGGTGTCAAAGCAAAGGCAGATACGCTAGAGAAATCAGGATACACCAACAGCACAGAGATAAACAAACTTTGTGGTGTGGAGCTCCTCCAGAAGGATATACCTTATAATATTGCATATTTACTTAACAGTGAAGTTGTTGAAACAGTTTTCCTAGCAGTCTTCCAAGAATCAGAATTTCAGGAAAAACCATTGCAAAGCAGCAGCTAAGCCAGTTCAGTATTTAAACTGGTGAAAGTAAATGCTAGCTGGCTTAGTAGTTCTGGTCCCAATACACTGGGCCACTCTTCAGCATTCATGCCACTGACTTTTCAAAATTTGGGTACCTGAAATTCTATCTTGCTATTTTCATTTCAATGAGCACTAAAATCAATACTGAAGTTTGAATGTACCTTGTTCCGACTCTCCACACAAAAATGAATGAAATATAAATTCCTTTATACAGACATTACATTTTAATCAGATATTACCTGCCATTAATGTATAACAGGAAGATGGGGTTAGGAAAATATTGAAATTCTTTTATACTGGATACAGGTATCAGTAGAACAACAATAGAGCAAATGAATTGAAATCTGCCCCAGGAATTTGTATGTCCTTGTACACGTTCCTAGCGTATGTAACCACATCTTATGAAGAAAAATGCATGTTGATACTTGATGATTATGACTTGTGATTTTTTCAGTTTTATGCATCAACCACTGAAAATATTAGCTTTAATGAACTGTTGTCTGATGTGTTTTAATAATTTCTGTATCAACTTGGATCAGGTCTGTGCCACATAGGTTTTCAAAACCTGAGACCATGTTATTTTGTTAAGCTTACTTTGTAAAACACACATTTATTCAATAAAGATTAATGGTTCAAAGCTATATTGGTTTGCTGACATCTGTATTTACCAAGGACATTACCATTTGGAGACAATAGAGAGATATTCTTTTTAATATGCTTTTCCTAAGCATTCATTTGCTACTGAATGGGAGAAAGTCAGTATTAAGGATTAAAATACATTTATTTTACATGTGTGTATATATATACACACATATACATAAAATTTAAATCTGTAAGGTTTCCTTTGGGGACTTACTCTTCTTTTGTAACATGGCCATTTTAAGCCATTTTGATCAGAAGGAAGCACTTAGAAACTGTATGACATACACTAATTTTAAGCTACTTTTTATCTTATTATCTACTATAATGGCCATAATATAAAAGAAAGTAATGTTTTGCCTTAGCCATTTTTTATTGTTTTCATGAGTTTTGTGCAATGGCCGGCTAAGAGGGGAAGGTAACTAAGAATTATCACAAAAGCTCCTTTGACAAACAAAGAGCAGTTCCAATGTTAAAGCTAAACAGTTTTTTACATTAAAGTTAAAATTCCTAGGTTTTGACTGAAATCTCAGCAGCCTTTTCTCCACAATTTACTGCATGCAATCTCCGCTGATTAAGTGTCATAATACTTTACAAATAAATAGTTAACTTACGTATTCATTTCCTTCAAAAGAAGAAGGAAGATCTTCAAAATACAGCAACTGATGTGAATACGAGTGTGTGTGTGTGTTTATGTTCTTCTCTAAAATTAACATGCTTTATATTCAGTAAGTCATGTGGAATATATGATCTTTTTTCTCAGAAATGTTCATGAAGATTAGTCATCTTTCCATTGCTGCTGATAATTGAAAGACTCTTGCTTAGCAGATGCTCAAGACAAAATGTCTTTTACAAGAGGCTTTTATCCTCTGTTATAAAATACATGGTATCTTGTAATTTGTGTTAGAGCTGAAAAACCTTCTGGAAACTGCAAAGCTGTAATTTGGAGTATACTTAATGGCTTCTTGTCTCTGCTAAAATGAATCTGTATCTCTCCCCCTTCCTGAGCTCCCAGATTTAACCAAAACTTGGCAAGACCCACAAGTCCCTGCCTGCCATGAGAGTTGTGGTTTGGTAGGTGATATTCGACCTCTGTGGTAGGTGCTGGCATCCTGGCAGCAGAAAATGCTTCTCAACACGGAGCCAAGTCCTGCTCCTCCCTTCCCCCAGAGTTCCAGGATCTGCAGTGACATCCTTGCAAGCAACTCTCATCTCCAGCTCTGTCATGAGCATTTTGCAAAACAGGGTTGCGTTCAACTCAAGAGATGCTGAGTGCACGCCCTTGGCAGGGGTAAAACACAACCTCTGTGCAAGAAAAACATGAACTAGAATGAAACCAAATGGGAGAAAAAGGTTACAGGCCTGGGTCTGAATTTCATGAATGGTGTTTAAAGAAAGTTTAATTAGAACTCTGTGAGAAAAGAAATAAGTTTATGGTTTTACTTTCAGAAGTTAAGTCTGTGGACTGATTGACTGAAAAGGCAGCTTAGACTGACAATAGTTTGCAGTCTCAGCCTCACTGAGAAGCCTGCCAAAGGGAGATCTTTAAATAAAGTAGTATTTTTCTAAAGAGAGAATAAGGAACAAACTTTACACTCAGGTCTTTCATCTTCCCCTCTCTTTCATTGAGCTTCCCATGTTACAATCTACTGTTTTCTGAAGCAATTTTTAATAGAAGTAGCTTTGAATTAAAACTTTTTTGCCTCCTTCTTAGTTCAGATTATTAAAATGATTCTTTCATGCTCAGAACAAAAAAAAAAAAAAAGTCACACAAGGACAAAACACGCAGGGAGTCGTTGAGTGGTGTGTGAAAAGACCTACAGTTCTTAATTTTGGTGAATCCATTGCAAAGTTCCTCTATTTTGCAGTTAGTTCTGCTTCAACAACCAAAGAAAATACAGCCTTGGTGATCAGTTCAGATTTAAAAATCTGAGACAACAAAAGGCTGTCATGCTCAGATACTAGTGAAGAAAACTCTAGAAACTATCCTCATAAATTAAAAGAACTTGATAGAAGGTGCAATTCCTAGTATGACCAGGTTCATGCTTACACCAAAGGGTGAGCGCCCCTTTAATTCTTGGGCCAAACCACACAGTTTTAGAAGGAATTAGAGCATCTGCAGCCCCCCATTAATTTCCAGTCTTCTGCCACTGGACTGATAAACTCAGTGCACAGATGTTGACATGAAGACTTAAGGATGAGAGTGAGGGAGGCTCAATTTTGTGCATCTGTGTTTGGAATGGAGCAAGCTATCCTCCATTAACACATTCACGGAATAATAAAACCCTCATGTGGCAATGTACTATTAAACAGACTCCTTGTATCAGTTGCTGAAAAATTGCACAAATTGAGGGCTATTTTCCTGCTTTTCTGGAAACAGTCCATCAGACATTTAAAAAAAAATCCACAAAAAACAGTTTTTAAAAAGAATCACATTGCTATAACACCAAGAGTGGAAACACCCATGTTCAAATTATCTTTGACATCTCAGCTTCTGTTTCCTGTGAATGTGTCTCATGGTGTGATCCTCCCATCATCTAGTCACATGCTACCTCTTTGGCCTTGTCCAGCAGCAAGTATAAGATTCCTGCTGAATAAGGACTCGCACATATACTGGAATGTGACAGGAAGAAAAATATACAGAACATCTTCATTCAGTAACTCCATCCAAATGTACAGTTAAAAAAGTGACTTTACTGTAAAAATAGTGAACACTAATATGTAAGAAAGATTAGCAGAATTAAATTAACTGCAGCTCCCTTCATTTTAGAATACTTTATAAGAGGGCTTTTTTTCCCCATCTTGGAAGTTTTTTGACAGAAAAACACTTCAGGCTCTTACAGCATAGTAAAGATGATGAAAGTCAAGGAAGTCTGCAAAGACTAGAATTTCAGGCCAGGAAACTGGAATTCAGAGATTGTGCCATTCTGCCTCGTGCAAGTCCTGGTCTGCAGCTGGAAGCGCTGGATGGAATTTAATTTGTCTCATGTTCATTTTTTAACTAGAAAATAGTAGAAGCATAGTTATTTTAAGGAAAATTTTTCAGATACTGCATCACTTCAGATCAACATTTTCTTTCCTCCAAGACAACCTGCTCCTCAGAATGCATGTTCTGTCAAATCATTAAAGACTCACAAAATAAGTAAAAAGTATTAGGTATGCCATAAGACACACCGTAAATGGCTCATGGGCAAGATGATGGAAACACTTAATAAAAATAAAGGTTTCTCAATCCATTGCCCTAGCAATGCAGGAGAAATTGTCACTGGGGAATGTGGCAGACAGTGTTATCTGGCAGGAATGGCTCACTGGAGGTAAGTTTAGGGCACGGTGGCTAAT